CAACATCTGGTGAAAATTTCATGTCATTAGCACCTCTAGTAAATATATTTACTGAGAAAAATGGTGACGTGTTCAATACTTATTTTTACCCGCTGTACATGTTTGTGAAAATGGCTTCAGCTGTTTTGCTCACATTTACATTTTTCATTTTTTATCCTCTAACAAATAAACTTTTTTAATAATTGCAGTTAAAGTAGTTAAAATGTTCCTTTGGGATATCTAATAACAGTAATAAAGTTACTTATATCTTGTAAATACCTTGCTCAATGTCTGTACAAGGTGGACATCACTGCTGTGAAAATGAACACACTCCTATTCAGCGAACGCCACCTCACATTAAGCTGTGTGGAAAACAACATTCTCTGTTTGTTTGGCACAGTTACCAAAAACAAAAATAAATCTTACAACCTCTAAAATCTGACTTCATGTTTGTTTACATTTTTGTGAAGAAGGGAGTTGCACTCAGCATCTTCTTCAGAGGTTTTTGTGTTGACAACGTCAGTGGCTCTTGAAGTGCCATCACAGGCGGGGGAGGGGGGAGTTGTTTACGGGGTTTACTTCGTTTGACAGTAGCTGTGTTTCCATTGACCATGAAAATGTGCAAATTAGAATTTCGAAAATAAATTTGCTCAATGGAAACACGTCAAATTCGAAAAAAAAAATTACCTTTTTCGACAAAATATTTTTGCGCTAGGATGAGGTGGTTTTTCAGTCGTATCGAAATTGATGTTTTTTGCAAAACTGCAATGGAAACCTCTTTTCGCATCACAGGAGTCACGTGATCAACAACCGGCTGTTTCTACTGGTGAAAAAGACGATGACGAAGAAGATAACAGGAAGTAGAAGTAGTAGTAATATCACAGAAGTAGTATAAAATAGTAAACTCACCGACTACAATTTCCCAAAAACACAGCATACGTAGCCGCTCCCAAGTAGGGACTTGTCTCTGGAAAGCCTCGATAAAAGATGCCGACGTCTCCTCTGATGATGAGCGCTAGTGTCGTGGTAGCAACATGCTATGTGTTTACATCCATCGCTGCCATGTTTTTAATGACTTATTTCAAGAACAAATGTATTCACGTGACTTTAATAATATTTCTTACTTAATGGAAACACTGCAGTTGTGAAACTGTGTTTTTCGACATTAACAGAATCTCGACAAAGTTTTGTGCACATTTGCAGTGGAAACACAGCTATTATGATTGCAAACAGCACCAGCTGATAATGTAAACAAATCTTGTTCTTTTGGTCCCTAAACGAATCGAGTCTACCAAACTATCAGGTGTGAATATGACCCTAAATTACATCCACAAGTGTGTCTCTACTTAACTCAGATGTTGTCAATAAACCTATCAGAAGCTTCCAAAGACCTGACATCAAAAGTCATAAATTGTTGAAAGGCATAGTAATCTCAGTGCATTTCAACTTTTAACTTTGCAGAAAATAATAAAAAATTGTCTTAAAAAGTTCCCTATTTATTCTGGTATTTAACAAATAGAAAACAACTCCTAATTGACCTAAAATGAGAAAGTTTTATTCTGATTTTACGTCAAAAAATCTTTTTTGTATAGTGCATGAAAATCTTTTTTTCAACCATAGACTTGAATATAAAGATGACTGGGCAGCCCCGCCCATACTGTCCACTGGTAGCGTCTGTGACAGCATGGAGGAGCAGAAAATGGCGTCTAAAAGGTCAACAGCTCACAGCCTCCATAGAAACTAATAGATAAACAGCAGCTGAACTGGATCAGTTTCACAGATTATCTGTCATGTTTTTACAGTAAATTAATAATTATGTTAATTTCATTCAACAATCATGTAAAACAGCAGATTTATAC